GAGCGTTGCGGCCTCCGTTTAATAGTAATGTTTAAGTTTTATATCTTTGCAACCTTATGTGGTAGACTTTTGTTATTATAAGCTGTGAATTCTGCCAGATTAATTAGGCTTCGTTTCAAAAACCAAAGATTTTCAGGTTGCAAAGATAAATGGATTTTAAAATTGAGTTTAAGTTGAGTTTCTTCAGCTGATCTTATTTTTTCATTTTTTATCGGGTTCTCATCCAAGCATTAAAATACCTACAGTAGTTTTTACTACCAGGAGTATAGGTTTTTAGAGGGAACATCATTGGTTGCTGAGGGAAGGGTGGGGGGAGTTAAAAAATTGGGGTGAGAAAGAGGTGGTGGGGAATGGGGGGGGATGAGACAGTGTTGAATAATATTTTCAAAAATGGTTTTATTTTTCTTAAATGTACGGATTGCAGGGATTTTTTTCGAAAATTGTACTGATTGTACGGATTTTTTCGAAAATTGTACGGATTTTTAAAAAAATTTACGGATATGTTCAAAAAATGTACGGATTGTACGGTTTTCTTTTTCGAAAATTGTATGGATTGTACGGATTTTTTTCGAAAATTGTACGGATTGTACGGATTTCCTCTAAAAATGTACGGATTTTTGTACGGATTTTTTCAAAAAAGTTTTGGCCATCCTGTATGTATCTAGCAGGATTGTCTCCTTTTTTACATACCTCAAGAACCATATAAACAGGGTTGGGAATGAAGGGGTGGTCAGTGTCACAGATGATTTATCCTCTTAATGATATTGAGGATTCTTAGAAGGAAATCATTCAAGGCGAGATTCTAAACGTTGATGAGTTCTACTTCTGAAACCCATTCAGTTTAAAACCTGTATAGAAGTAATACTGAGTAACCAGTAACTTCAGTAATAGTTTCTTTTTTGAGCTTTTAACTAGTGTAAAGAAACCCACCACCAAGAAGACTAAGGTCCAGTTTAAGTTAAGTCTTACTGCTGCAATCCCTAACCTTGATAATGTGTGTTACATCAGCTCCTGACGAACATCTTGAGTTACCGTGATCTAATTATATCACTTCCCACCGATTCTGCCATTGACGAAGACAAGCATGTTGTGTCACAGCAGATCATGAAAGCTATTCTGGAGCAGGTTGGGGAGGATAAGGTTGCTAGATGTATGACCGATTTCTATAAGGTATGACAGACAAATGTGAGTGCGGAGGCAGATAGTTCAGAGTTCCTCCTGTAGATCCTCTTCTTCCTGGAAGATTCTCTGAAGAATACTCGCATGCTAGAACTTTCAAATAGTTGGTTTATTCAACCAGTGGAGATGGAGGAAAGAATTGTTCGTATATGTCAACTTTTGCCAGGATACAAAACTGGAGCAGGAGATAAACTCAACCTTCAAAAACATAGCATCTGATTTGATCTTTCTATTAACTGTGTCAAGTACACTGAAGAAAGAGACATACAGACTGTGCAGTGTACGGTTCCAAGCAGAACTAACCTCAAAGGTTAATGCATACTGCCAGAATACTTCCCGCTTCAAACTCATCACGGTTGTTCATGCTTTTAAGCATAACAAACCACATTACGTAGTTTATATTAAATCTGGGATAAACTGGATCAAACTTGATGATGAGGAGGTGAAGAATATCAATCAGAAAACAGTTCTCGAGGCTTGCGGGGACTCTGGTGGAGACAGGTATCAGTCCTTTGCAAGCATGCTTGTTTATTCTTCTCCTGATGACTCACCTGATATCCTTATTCCTACTCATCTTCAGGACCGGTATTAAAAGATAATCAAGCAACCTTAGAGGGATAAAAAGCTTACAGATAGGTTGAAGCAAACTGCAAGATGGAGGTTTCTCAATTTGACATCAACCAGACTGAAATGGATAGAGAAGTTTGGGAGTATCTAGCAACTTTGTTTGCTTTTAACCCTGCATCCTTCCCCCTTCAAGTTGCCCATTTCTAGGTTCCTTATGTTGTTTCAAGGTTTCCTGTCTTGTTTCTAGGTTCCTAATCTTGTTTCAAGGTTTCCTGTATTGTTTCTAAGTTCCCAACCTGGTTTACAGATTCACTAATCACAATCTTGTTTCTAGTTTCCCTGTCATGTGTTTTGGTTTCCAATCTTTTTTCTAGGTTCCGCATCTTGGTTCTAGATTCTCTATCTTGTTTCTATGTTCCCAATCTTGTTTTAGGTTCCTAATCTTGTTTCAAGGTTCCCTATTATATTTTTAGGTTCCTTGTCATGTTTCTTGGTTCCCTATCGTGTTTCTTAGTTTCCAAACTTCTGTCCAGGTTTTTATCTTGTTTCTAGGGTTACAATTTTGTTTCTAGACTCCCAAATTTTTATAAGGTTCCTAATCTTGATTCAAGGTTCCCAATTTGGCTTCTGGGTTCCTTTTCTTGTTTCTAGATTACCAAATTTGTTATAAGGTTCTTAATCTTGTTTCTAGGTTCCAAATCTTGCTTCTGGGTTCTCTACTCTTGTTTCTAGGTTCCATGACGGATTTCCTGAGAACTGGGAGCTTCTTGTTCAACACTGGAGAAGGTATATGAACTCTATCTTCTTATCCTAGATACATATATCCTTAAAATCAGGAATTTGCATCCGGAGTTTAAACATTTGGCTCCCTGGATCTGGATCCAAAACGTTTTTGCTCTATGGACTGGAAACATTTTTGACTTGTTGGATTGGTGTCTGCAAAAAATTCGGAAATTAATCCAAGGGGAAAAATATCAAAACAGCTTTTATTCTCCAAACACAAAGCAGAAGCCAAGTAATTTGGCATTTGTTTTTAGATAAAGAAACAACTATAAGTATCAATGAGCTGAGTTCTTTTTTACAGGGCTAATCAATGTAAAAATAAAATATTTCTCAAGCACTGGAATATATTGGTTGACTTTAAAAGTCACTATGATAAAATAAAAGAGATCTAAATGGATATTTCTAACATTTATTTAATAAAACCAAAGTGTTTTGAAATATTTGCATTGAAGGCGGAGTTAAAATTGGTTGATTTAGAAATTAACAAAGGAATTAATGATGGATATTAGATGGCGCTTCATGGAAGTGTTGTAGAGCTTCAAGTTGGTGGAGCAGATCTGGGAACTGGGACAACAGGGCTTATCAATGGAACTAAGGCAATGCAACTCGAGATAGCGGAAACTTCGGTCAGAGCCGTGCACAAGTTTCCTAAGTAAGCTTCTCAAGAAGTTAATAGGGAGATCAGAGGTATAAGCACGCCTGCTGTTAGTTCAGTATCTGCATCATCAGCCTGAAGGAGTCATGGGGGGTGATGTAGAGCTTCATGTTGGTGGGGCAGATCAACAGGTGCATTGCACTGAGTATCTGCATCATGATCATGAAGGAGCCAGGGTTGGGACGGAGTTGTGAATGTCTTGAGTGTTTATAGCTGACTGAATACCGGGAGGTGTAGAGAGGTGAGGAGCGAAGGTTACATGTGTGGTGTGCTTCATGGCGGAAATGGATCCTGTGTACACACACATCTAGAGAATTAACATCGGCATTTGAGTCGGTGAAATCGTCTTCCTTATATTTCGAATTTATTTTAACAATATTGTAGTTTAAAATGATGTTTGTGTTTTCAGATTCATCAGAACTCAACTAGCGATAAAAGAGACGTGGAAGACATTTGAAAGTAATTTGGAGAATTGTAATACCACAAACGACAACTCCCTGTCCCCTGTGTCTCAATATGTAAGGAGTGTTCCCCCGACCATGCCCCTTCAGCCCAACAAAGGTATGAGCTTGTGCAATCAAAGCCAGGATGTTAGCTGTTTCTTTGTAGGTAAGCATCCTAGGAGTCCAAAAATATTAATTTCAGTTGTAGCGAGTGTTTAATGTTGAATAGTCTTTCCCCCTCCCCCTTCTTATCTTTCTTGTTATTTTTTTTCTTGTGTTGGGAAAAAATTATTTTAAAGTTTTAAAAGGTGGGGAATGGGGGGGGGGGGTGAGACAGGGTTGATTAATATTTTCAAAAATGGTTTTATTTTTCTTAAATTTACGGATTGCAGGGATTTTTTGCGGAAACTGTACTGATTGTACGGATTGTTTAAAAAATGTACGGATTGTACGGATTTTTTGTTTCGAAAATTGTACGGATTGTACGGATTTTTTTTCGAAAATTGTACGGATTTTTCTGAAAATGTACGGATTTTTGTACGGATTTGTTCAAAAAAAGTTTTGGCCACCCTGAATATATCTGTTTCTGTCAATGGTCTATTTACAATATATCTGTTTCTGTCAATGGTCTATTTACAATATATCTGTTTCTGTCAATGGTCTATTTTCAATATATCTGTGGCGGCGGCTCAAATATCGAAACATTGAATACAATTTCAAGTGGAACCAACCATGTTTGAGTCACGTCTCAAATTTAAGACGCAGCATAAAATTTTTTAATTCGGCCTCAGGTTGCAAAGATACATAGATTAAAAAGATTTAAAATTTGTCACAGTGTGACTGTATGTATCGAGATTAAGCTTTGTAGATCAGTAGATCAGCGCTATTTCATATAAACGTTTTGACCTCTAAGCTGGATGTGTTGTAGGCAAAGATAATAGAAAAGTATAGAGCGGAATTCGATCCCGAGTTCATTTCAGCGTAAGCTTTGTTTTACATTCCCGAGTTCAGTCTAAACTTCACTTAACATTCCCGAGTTCATTTCAGCATCGTTCAGGCTGGAAAGGGACTGAGTAAATTCATACCGAGGAATAGTCTTATTTCCCTTCTTTTCTAATCTCTGTTCTGTGATTGTAGGTGTAACCTGGCGATGATCCTGTTGACCGACCTGGTGGTGGACGGGTTGGACCTGGACTGTCATAGTGTGGACTGGTCCGTTCATCTACCCCTCATGCTTCATATCATTTTCCTTGGATTAGGTTTAATTCATCAAAAACAGTCATTTATTCAATATATGCATTATTATAGAACAAGCTAAAGTTCCCGTGGAATTTTTAAAAAATCGAATATCAAAAAATCAGATTTTTAACATATGGTACCCCGGCCCCAGGGTACCAATGGGTTTCCTCAAATAATGTCAGCCAATTCGGTCCAGTTGTTTGGCCAGCTATAGCTAACATATATATACAAATATACATTAACAAATATATGAGTGAAGAGCTTTATTTTATGAATGTTTCTTTCGAACATTACAAACATTACAAATTATTATTATAATACAAGTACAGTTTTTTTCGATTGTTCCAATTAAATACAAAACACAGTTAAAATACACTTGTACACAGATATATCATAAAACCTAAGTTTTTTTATAATTGAAAATTTCTCAGAAAGCAAAATTGCGTATTCAATTGCAAAAAAACTAACAATTAGAGAACTCGTTAAAACCAGGGAAATATCCTTAGCTTGCTTTAAAATTCTGACTTTTTTTGAAATTGAAACTTTAGTTCTAGGCAAAGCTGGGTTTCCAAGCTAGTTCTAAAATAAAATTATGATAATGTAAAGTTGTCAGTTTTCTCTCAACAAAAACTGCCTATTTTCTAATATTTCATCAAATATTCAATTATTGGAAAATATCAGAGTGAACATGTTTATTTTTACTTAAAGCGCATGTTATTTTTTCTGACGAGTTAAATAATTAGATAACAACCGCCCTATTGTACATCAGCATTGTAAACAACTACTTCTTAACCTTCTTGTTGTACTCGGGGCACATGGAGATCATCTTAGTGTTGCTAGCATACTACTGGGCAATAAAACAGCGCAGGAACATCAAATAAAATAGTATTTTTTAATTTCTTGATTTTAATTATATTTTACTTTTTTAGTCTGTTCTCTAAAAGTCATCTTTATTTTTAAGTTTAAAGAGATTTTTCGTGGGATCCTCTTATTATTTCTATTTGATTGCGTAGTTAAACTACGGACTGACGCATACTAACTCCACCGCCTTGACGCACAACTTCCTAGAAGAGGATGAAAACTTCGATGCGTATCTTACGCAAAATCCCCAATCTCAGGTACAGTAATGTTTTTTGTTTAATATTGAGGATAATGTTGGGTTGTTTCAGGTTACAGGGTTACCCATAAAGAATGAGACTACTGTGACGATTGTACAGAATGTATACTGTCTGTTTCCTTATATTTAGGATTCCCTAAAACTATAAACTTGTTTCTGTCTGCCTAATCATGGATTAAGCCATAAAAAGATTTTATTCAAAGGCATAAGACTTATATAACCTCGTTATCATAAAATTCAAAGAGTTTTAGGTCGTCTTTACAGTCTCATCCTTGGTGGGTAACCCTGTAGATTTAGTTCTGTGTAAATAATGTTTTTTTCGGCTTCTGTTTAGTTGAGTTAAGTTTTAGTTTTTTGTTCTTCTATATCCTTAATTCTCGTTTTGTTATGTTTTGGTTAGATGTGGGTTAGTTTAGATTAGTCGGAGTTTGGTCAAATTTAATCTCTAATATTAAGAAGAATGAATAAAACTAGTTTAACCTCTAACATTAAGAAGGATGAATAAGACTAGTTTAATCTCTAATAATGAGAAGGATGAATAAAACTAGTTTTCTATTCTTAAGAAGGATGAGGAGGAGAGTGATGAGGATGAGGAAAGTGAAGCTAGTGGGGGATCTGGAAGTGTGACAAGTGGACATGTAAGTAACTCAATTTAATTTGAACCTTTTTAGATACAGATTTTAAAGCTAAAGGGGGGGGGGGGTAACAGTGGCTTTAATACAAATTCATCCGAAAAGTATTAATTTTACAGCCAACACCGCAAAAATTGCAATATATTTAGTATTTATTCTCTTCTAAATTATCACCTTTTACAATAACTTGTCATAAAGGTCGATTTGGGATTTCTATTCCACTGTGTTTTGACGCCCACCATCTGGATTTCTATTCTAATTCAGAGACGACTGTACGGAATTGATACTTTCTTTTTCATTATATTCATGATTCCCTGCAACTTGTTTCTTTATTTGCCTTATCATTCAAGGCAGAAGACTTAATTTATCCTTTAATCGTCAGAAATTTATAGGTCGTCTTTACAGTCTCATCCTTTTTGGCTAACCTTGTGTATTTGTATTTGCAATTAAAGCTACATTTTTTTTATAAATCATATACGTAATTCTATAGTTAATAGTGATGTGTGAATATGTGAATAAACATAGGAGATACTTAATAATTAGGTGGAATTTGTATTTTCAACCATTATCCTGTTTAAATTTGATAATATCTTAAGCTCTTAAATATCATGTCGTCACAATCTCTGAAAAGTATTTACATGAATATATTTGTAATGAAATATTAAGATTAAAAATAAAGATTAATGAAGTCGCATTGTTGAAAATGTCAAGTATACATATATTTATCTTTAAATTAGTTTTAATCTTCATGACAGAAACAATCTCAAGAACTGACGAGGGTCACCGAATTTTAAATGTACAATTTTATTAATTTGTTCGTAAACTCGTAAGCTAAACTTTTCCGAACTCGGAAATATTATGTAATTTATCATTAATTTTTAACGCTTGATCTTGATATACAATATGGACACCTTTTTGAGGATAAATGCTTGATCTTGATATACAATTTGGACACCTTTTTGAGGATAAATGCTTGATCTTGATATACAATTTAGACACCTTTTTGAGGATAAATGCTTGATCTTGATATACAATTTGGACACCTTCTTGAGGATAAATGCTTGATCCCCTAATTAAAAATATGGAAGATGAATTATTCCGTAGATGGAGATCAAAGCTTAGTTCACCCCAAGAATCAGAATAAGAAAAGTTACGACTTGAGTTGTAATTACAATTTTAATTAGTTTCCTTTCTGGATTTGGATATATGCTTTACTGCATGATATCCTTAAACTTTCTGATTTGGGTATATAGTTTACATGATATCATTAACCTTTCTGGATTTGGAATTAAGGTTTACATGATATCCTTATACTTTCTGGATTTGGATGTATGGTTTACATAATATCCTTAAACTTTCTGGATTTGGATATATGGTTTACATAATACCCTTAAACTTTCTAGATTTGGATATATAGTTTACATGATATCATTAACCTTTCTGGATTTGGAATTAATGTTTACATGATATCCTTATACTTTCTGGATCTGGATATATGGTTTACATGATATCATTAACCTTTCTGGATTTGGATGTATGGTTTACATAATATCCTTAAACTTTCTGGATTTGGATATATGGTTTACATGATATCCTTAAACTTTCTGGATTTGGATATATGGTTTACATGATATTCTTAAACTTTCTGGATTTGGATATATGGTTTACATGATATTCTTAAACTTTCTGGATTTGGATATATGGTTTACATAATATCCTTAAACTTTCTGGATTTGGATATATGGTTTACATAATATCATTAACCTTCCTGGATTTGGATATATGGTTTACATGATATTCTTAAACTGTCCGTCCTGGCTTAAACAACTGGGAATTGATTATATACTCTAAGGTTGTATTTATGAAGATGAAAATTTCTTGGAAAAAGGAATAAACACTGTTATCTATTCGAACTTGTGCACTATGAATCATACTGCCCACTAATGTTGCAGAAAACGCACTGGGGACACTAGACGGGCTGGTACGAGTTACCCTTGAACTAGGTCGGGTCATGAAGCGATTAGTCTCATTAAACACTTCAAGTTCAGTCTCATATTCACTGTACTCTTTTCCACTAATTACTCTAAGACACTTAAAATTCCCTTTGAGACAAATTACTTCATTGAGATTATAATAAACAAGCAAAAGATAAAAAGTCGTATTTTAAAAAAAATCGATTTTTAGCCTATTTTACCCCCAGGGTAACCACGGGTTTCTTCAAATAAGTATCAATATATAAATGAGCGAAGAGCTTTATTATATAGTTTGTATTTCTAGGGAAGTATGTCAAGCTCCCGTAGTTCCGGTGTAACCTTTGCTCTTCCACCCCCAACCCTAACCGTTCCAGAGGTCATGAAAGCTCTCATTCAGTTTATAGGTAGGAAGATTATTTTTATTATTATTGTTATGATTATGATTATGATTATTTGATTATATGATTATATGATTGTATGATTATATGATTGTATGATTATATGATTGTATAATTATATGATTGAATGATTATATGATTATATGATTGTATGATTATATGATTATATGATTGCATGATTATATGATTATATGATTATATGATTGTATGATTATTTGATTGTATGATTATATGATTATATGATTATATAATTTTAGGATTATATGATTGTATGATTATATGATTATATGATTGTATGATTATATGATTATATGATTTTATGATTATATGATTGTATGATTATATGATTGTATGATTATATGATTGTATGATTATATGATTATATGATTTTATGATAATATCTTTCTATGATTATATGATTATATGATTATATGATTATATGATTATATGATTGTATGATTATATGATTATGTGATTATATGATCATAACCGTTATTCACGAAAATTATAGTAATAGTAGATGAATAGTCGATTCAGTTGGAAGCAAATAAAAGAAATGCGAGTTGAAATGAAGTATAGCTGTAACTGCCATTTTGAGCGGGAATGTTGAAATTATATAAAGTAACTTTTTAGTAAATATAGTTGTCAAAAAGAGAAGAATCTTGAGTTACATTACTCGATTGGTAGATTTGAATGAGTAAGAAAACTTGGAGGATTATTTTGCGAATTGGTTCATTTTATTTTCAAGTATTCCAAATATTTACAATCCGAATAACGGTTATTATTATTTTCGTTTCTATTATTATTATTATTATTAGCGAGTAAGAAGACGGAAGGGGTGCTGTGGCTCTACGAGGACACGACGAAGAGCTTGAGCACTGTGAAGAGCGGGGAGCAGATGGGAGTCTTCCTTACGCACGTTCTGAGAGCCCTCGAGGAATCCTTGCCACACGCCCACCTAGCAGAGAGGTCAGATAATTTATCTTGAATTTAAACATTTTCTTGTATGTATCAGTGTGTGATTTATTGTTATTGTTATTATTATTGTTATCGTTATTGTTATTGTTATTGATTGTTCTTGTTCTTGTTCTTGTTCTTGTTCTTGTTCTTGTTCTTGTTCTTGTTCTTGTTCTTGTTCTTGTTCTTGTTTTTGTTCTTGTTCTTGTTCTTGTCCTTGTTCTTGTTATCTTGTTCTTGTTTTTGTTTTTGTTATTGTTATAGTTATAGTTATTGTTTTTGTTATTGTTATTGTTATTGTTATTGTTATTGTTATTGTTATTGTTATTGTTATTGTTATTGTTATTGTTATTGTTATTGTTATCCTTATTGTTATTGTTATTGTTATTGTTATTGTTATTGTTATTGTGTAGGTGGGCCCAGCTTAGTATTCAGCTGGCATTATCTTGTTCATCTCGGCATTACGCTGGTAGATCTCTTCAGATATTTAGAGCTCTCAGGTATTCAACTTCTCAAGGAAAAATAGAAAGGAGGAGAGGTGGGACCGGGTTTGCAAAGAAAATCGCCCCCCCCCCCCCTCTTTAGTATTTTTCTTATCTTGGCCTTTTCTAGTTTCTCTAATTAAGGCTACCTATCTAAATATCGAATTATCTAATCTAAGGCTACCTATCCAATTATTTTATTACTCTAATCTAAGGTTACCTATCTAGTTATCTAATTACTCTAATGTAAGGATACCTATCTAATTATCTAATTACTCTTATCTAAGGGTACCTATCTAATTATATAATAACTGTAATGAAAGGGTACCTATCTAATTATCTAATTACTCTAATGTAAGGTTACCTATCTAATTATCTAATTACTCTAATGAAAGGTTACCTATCTAATTATCTTATTACTCTTATCGAGGGTTACCTATCTAATCATCTAATTACTCTATTCTAAGGTTACCTATCTAGTTATCTAATTACTCTAATGTAAGGATACCTATCTAATTATCTAATTACTCTTATCTAAGGGTACCTATCTAATTATATAATAACTGTAATGAAAGGGTACCTATCTAATTATCTAATTACTCTAATGTAAGGTTACCTATCTAATTATCTAATTACTCTAATGAAAGGTTACCTATCTAATTATCTTATTACTCTTATCGAGGGTTACCTATCTAATCATCTAATTACTCTATTCTAAGGTTACCTATCTAATGATCTAATTACTCTAATGGAAGGCTACCTATCCAATTATTTTATTACTCTAATCTAAGGTTACCTATCTAGTTATTCATTTTACATTTGTACTGTTGTAGAGCAAGGCGAAGATATGCAGGGATATGTAACTGAACTCATCCTAACCCTGGAAGCTGTTGTAGAGAACCTAGATTCAGATTTCAGACCTATGGATATAATGAGGGTAAACTAATCAAAATTATTAACAACAATGGAACTGAATACTCGCCTCAAACTTAAATTTTTTAATTCCTATATCTTAGCATCTTGATGGTGCACTTTGATCTTGTCAGGCTACATTTGTTGCATAAAACTTGCTGGGCCGACTCTATTACTGGGTAGTCAAGGCTGGACAGTACATCTGAATGGATGTACAGTACATGTGTACCGGCTCAGTGGGTGTAAATCACTGTTATTTCAAATATCAAGTATTTGATCGAGAAAAATTCTTAGTTTAAAATATCAACGGTTTACGCCATCAGGTCATACAAATTGTAAATTAGAGTTTTAGGTTATTAGTTTCTTTATACACTGTTTTTGATGGATTAAATTTATTTTAAACCCATTAGAATATAAGCCTCTACTGCGCATTAAGCCCTAAGTAACTTTTAGAGACAAACGCAGTTGTAAATTTTCAACTTTCAGAGATAATCAAGGATTTTTACTTATTTACATTGTTGTTACTCAAAGAATTTACGTCAAAAATTCGTTAAAATTTTACCTTTCATGGATCATTTATACAAAATAATAATGTTAATAATGTTTTAGGAGATATTTAAGTCGACTCCTAACCTGAAGGAGGCTGGAGGGGATAGGAGGGTAGGATTAGGGACTCCTTCCCCTCAGCAGCATGCTTATCATGCTTCAGCTCCCCCTGCTGGTCCTTATCATGCCAGGAGTACTTCGTATGGTCTCTCCCATCAACAGTATAGGTGAGGACAAGCTTACAATAGTAAAGGTATGTTAGAGGGTCCATTTGTACACAATTAGTTTTTTTTTTTTTAATCAATGTCATTAAACATTTTTAGTAATGCATTATTAAAATTGGTCTTTTAAAAAAAGAACGTACTAAAATATTATGAAATATATTGTCATGTAATGATTGTACTCTTCAAGATTTTGAGAGAGATATATTTAACATTTAAATTTGCTAGTTTTAGTAAAATATGAAGAGTAAATAGTATTAACCTTTGAAATCGGAAACTTGAGGAACAGATTTCTACGACATGAAGTTTAAAAGATCTAAGGATAAGAAAATTAGAATTTCCTTAAAGGAATCTCTAAGGGATTGTATTTATTAAAAAGTATATAAGTTAGAAAACTAATTATTTTCAATTGTGGTTTCTCTACAAAGTCACTTTCCCATTTCTATTGCAGGAAATCTTATAAGAATTATCAGAATTTAACACTTGTAACCCTAGAAAAACGACAATATCTACCGGATAAAGTTTTCAAGGGTTCCGATGTGATCAAATATAGAACCATGTACTGTCTACAACTTGACTTGACTTGACTTGAATGGAGGGTCACTTAAAATTAAGCTTCCAGTCCCTTGAAAATTATATTTTGTTTGTCTAGGAGAGCGAATGCTGACTCACCAGGTGTGGGTGAACCACGAGGAAGATCAAGCACAGAATCAGAAGCAAAGATTAAAAGTCAGACAAATCTAGCGCGCTCGCGCTCAGCGCAGTCACTCAAGGTTAGTTTGATGGGGTTAAAGAATACACTTGTCATCCCTGCTATTCTTCAAAACTTAATTAAATAAAGTTAAATTAAATAAATTAATTAAATAAAGTGTAAGTTTCCTAACAAAAGTTCCTCTTTTGAAAATCTATTGATATGTGCATATGCTTACAATCCTTTGGATCCATTTTATTTTGATCCTGGATCCTGGATCCTGACCGATTTATCTCAAATTTTGATTTTAAAACTCGGTCTAAGCTTGGTTTAAACAGTTTGCATTGGGAGAATTTACTTTAAATTTAGAGAATTAAACTTAAGTTTTAGCTTCCAGGGAAAACTGGGATCCCAAGCTAGTTATTAATATTCATTGGTTCAGATGTATTATTATCATTATCTTTATAATAAAGATCTTCCGCTCATATATACATCTTTGTTTTTGTGTTAGCTATAGCTGGCCCAACGGCTGGACTAAATGGGCTGACATTTTTTGAGGGAACACATGGGTATTGGCTACCATTGGGATAACATAGGCTGAAAAAAATTCAAACAAATTTTTCTTTAAAATTCAATTTTTTAAATATTCCACAGGCAACGCCGGACACTTCAGCTAGGTATCATTATTATCATTATTATTATAATTATTATTATTATGATCTAGGTTCAGGATATGACGAGTGAAGAAGATAAAATGAATATACTGGTTCAACTGTTCTGGATTTGTATCGCAGTACTAGAATCAGACTATGAACATGAATTCATCCTGGGACTCAGGCACATTCATTCATTCATTTATTCACCTTTTCAATATTCCTCTTATTCATTTTTGAATTTATTAGTTCATTTATTAATTCATCTTTATATTTTTCTTTCATGATTTAATAAATATCTTCATGGCTGGGATCGGTAAATCATCACTGACGAGAATAAATATATAAAAATTGTTTGCGAAAGAATTGGCATGATTGCGAAAGGTTAGTATTTAAACGATTCTTAAAAATCTGCAGGTTTCTTTTTTCTAACACAAAATATTCAAAATATTTTTTGGAGGTGGTCTGTTACCTTTTTAAAAAAATATTTATTCTATCTATCTATTATGACATCCCAATAACACGAATGTTACCAGGAAACCACCCCTCCCGGCAACCCTCTGCCTCACTTAGGAGTACATGGGTCACAGAGTTAGCATGACATGTGCAATGATACTGTTATGCCCGAGTGGAAGTAGCTGAAGCCGTGAAGCCCCAACTACCGTGGCTTGTATTTCCCAGCTAGGTTAGAGTTCCATAAGCAGGCTTATCTCAAAAGCTTCAATGGTTCCCAGCTAGGCTAGAGTTCCATAAGCAGGCTTATCTCAAGGCTTCAATGGTTTATTACTAGCCATTATCCTAAGGATGAAGAATGAACTGGATGTATCTCCCCTTCAATGATCCTAAGGATGAAGGTTGAACTAAAATTATCTCCCCTCCAATGTTCCTAAGGATTAAGGATGAACTAAAATTATCTCCCCTCCAATGTTCCTAAGGATTAAGGATGAACTAAAATTATCTCCCCTCTAATGTTCCTAAGGATACAGGATGAACTAAAATTATCTCCCCTCCAATGTTCCTAAGGATTAAGGATGAACTAAAATTATCTCCCCTCCAATGATCCTAAGGATTAAGGATTAACTAAAATTATCTCCCCTCCAATGTTCCTAAGGATTAAGGATTAACTAAAATTATCTCCCCTCCAATGTTCCTAAGGATCAAGGATGAACTAAAATTATCTCCCCTCCAATGATCCTAAGGATAAAAGATTAACTTAAATTATCTCCCCTCCAATGATCCTAAGGATGAAGGATGAACTGAAATTATCTCCCCTCCAATGGTCCTAAGGATAAAAGATTAACTAAAATTATCTCCCCTCCAATGTTCCTAAGGATTAAGGATGAACTAAAATTATCTCCCCTCCAATGATCCTAAGGATAAAAGATTAATTAAAATTACCTCCCCTCCAATGTTCCTAAGGATTAAGGATGAACAAAAATTATCTCCCCCCCAATGTTCCTAAGGATAAAAGATGAACTAATATTATCTCCCCTCCAATGGTCTAAAGGATGAAGGATGAACTGAAATGAATGAATTACTTGTGACTAGATTATTGGATAAAGTTCTCTCTAAGCTTCCGTTAGATAGACCTGACACAAGGTAGGATTCTTATTTAACCTAAAAGGGACTGTTCGCGTAATGAAATTACCTTAAATTTATAGAGTGGCATGTCCGATCTGCACTGATCCTTTGTACGGTCAAACATGAATGAGATATCATTTTTTTCTAACTGAAAAAGGATTATTTATTGTGGTTAAGTATAGAAGCTTCTTGTGGATTCATGCAACAAAGAAAAGCCTTAAATTGTTTGAATTTACAGAGGGTCCCTTTAAAATACATCTACCAACTACAGTCCCTTTAAATACGTCTACCAACTACAGTCCCTTTAAATACGTCTACCAACTACAGTCCCTTTAAAATACGTCTACCAACTACAGTCCCTTTAAATACGTCTACCAACTACAGTCCCTTTAAAATACGTCTACCAACTACAGTCACTTTAAAATACGTCTACCAACTACAGTCCCTTTAAATATGTCTACCAACTACAGTACCTTTAAAATACGTCTACCAACTACAGTCCCTTTAAATATGTCTACCAACTACAGTACCTTTAAAATACGTCTACCAACTACAGTTACTTTAGAATATGTCTACCAACTACAGTCCCTTTAAATACGTCTAGCTACAGTCCCTTTAAAAACTCATAAAAAATACATAACAAGGTTAGTTGGAATATCGGGTAAAAATTCCAGAGTAAAATACAAATTATTTTATACATTAAAAATATTATGCTGCTAGGATATTTTATAAAAAGTTCCATTCCTTAGCACAGTAGTTGAGATTATCTATTCAAATATCTACTTGTTGACGGCCAGGATTTTATTATTTCCCCCCCCCCCTTTTTTTAAATCATTTAAATTTTTTTCTAGAATATATGCTGCTTACGCAGATGGGTAAAAATATATTTTTTGGGTTTTATTCGCTGTAGTGGGAAACATAGATGATTTTTAGGGTAAAGGCAATAATTATTAAATGTTGTAGGGAGAAGGTTGAAAAAATACTATCTGGATTGAAATGGTCCCAATTTCCAGGACTACATTCTCTTCTTCTTAAAGGTAGTTTTATCTTCTCTCTCAAAAGAACAAAAGACAAGAATGAAAAGTATCACACAAAAAAAAACAAGAGTTTAACGACATAGACAACCTTTAACTCTTTTATTCCGACGATTAAGAATGTAAAATTGGGTGCTCGATCTTGAATATGGTCTTGGAGAACTTACTTTCATGACAAATAAGCTCAAAGCTAAAAGCCTTATTATCTATATGTAAACTTTGCTTGTTTGTCTGTCTGTTTGAATCCAATAAGCGTCTAAAACGGCTGTAGTAATAGGGCCAAAAAAACGTCAAAAACTGCTGTAGTAATAGGGCCAATAAACGTCTAAAACTGCTGTAGTAATAGGGCCAAAAAAACGTCAAAAACTGCTGTAGTAATAGGGCCAATAAACGTCTAAAACGGCTTTATTAATAGGGCCAATAAACGTCTAAAACTGCTGTAGTAATAGGGCCAAAAAAACGTCAAAAACTGCTGTAGTAATAGGGCCAATAAACGTCTAAAACGGCTTTATTAATAGGGCCAAAAAAACGTCTAAAATGGCTGTAGTAATAGGGCCAATAAACGTCTAAAACGGCTTTATTAATAGGGCCAAAAAGACGTCTAAAACGGCTGTAGTAATAGGGCCAATAAACGTCTAAAACGGCTGTAGTAATAGGGCCAAAAAACGTCTAAAACGTATGTAGTAATGGAGCCAAAAAAACGTCTAAAACGCAGTAGTATTAGGGCCCAAAAAATTATGGTATCTTACACGACCCCAAGGATCGACGGTTTCTGGACCATCAAAATTGAATAGTAAAATTTTATAAAAAAAGACGGACGAAATTCTGCACAATCATTTTTTCTATTGAAGACTAATGAAGTATAGATTGAGGTGAATTTAAATGGAACATAATTACAATAAAGTGGAATGGTTTCCGAGTAGGGGGGGGGAGGTGGTTAAATTGGACAACAAGCAAGTTTTTTTTTATCAAATACACCAAAATATCATGATCATTGATTATAATGAAAAAATATATAATATATATTGAATAAATAATTTATAAAGCACCGATCAATATTTACTACATTTTAACCTCTGTAAAGTGTATGATGAATAAAATTTGAATTTTAATAAAACAGTAATTCATAAATATTTTGAGAACATTTTTTAATCCAAACCTAAATCAGACAGACAGATATACAGACACATGGCCTGACAGATGGACTGACAGGCGGAGGGTTTGAGACATGTCACATTTATTAAGAAATTACCCACCTTATCATTATAATAATAATATAAGTATTAACTGTACCCCAGGTTGTACGAACCCTAATACCTATGAGCCGACTATAGCCCTGTTATCCCGAATGACCCTGCAACTAGACTTCCCTGTGGTGGACCCCGGCCAGTCCCACGCCTTCCCTATGAACGTGATCGCCCTGCTCCCCTACTTAGTTATGAACTACGAGGATGCGAACGACCTGTGCATCACCAGTGCTAAGGTATGGGTGGGATAGTTCTTGAAAACATACCCCTGAGATGATTCAGTACAGTAGTCGGCGTTTATATCAATAAAATGAGGTTGGAGGGTGTTGCGTACACTCTGACTGCGTATTAGAAGTTAGAACTGATTTGAAAATGCCCCTCTTTATATCTCCAGAGAAGGGGGGGGGGGCGACCACCCCCATTTTTGTATCTTAGTATAATTTGACTAGATCATTCCCTTCTGATCTGCAATGTGAAGTAGTTAGTTGTAAAATATATGCATTAATGTATATATACACTGAGTTTCAAGAATTTATGCAAGTACGTAGTTTTTCAATTCAGACTCAAATAATTTTTTTTTAAATCTTTATTTTACGTACAAAAGTTTTTCATATGTTTACCAATTTGTTTGTACATGAGTTGTAACACAGTACACAAAATGTAAAATTGTACTTTTACGGTGTTTATAATTATTATGCAAGTGGAAACTTGGTTACCCAAGTCACAGAAAAATGGGAAATAAGGGTGATTGCAAGATTTGCTGATTTAACACTGAGATCGCCGTACAGTTCATTCTTTTATAAAGGCTGAAAATAAATAGTACAAAATGTATCATTAAGATGACTTAACGAGGCATAACGAAGCCCAGACAGTTAGGCTATAGGTTGGGTTATAAAAAGCGTAAAAGAAGGCAAGAGGATGGAAGAAAGGGTTTAGTATCTGGGCGGGATCATCTGGGAAGAGATCATTGGACCAATCAAGGTCGAGGATGGCGTCAAGTTTCGGTCCAAGGGGTATGTGAGTTCCTAAAGGACCATTTCATGCCTTGGTAAAGAAATCTGAATTCTGCGGTTCAAAAAAGCTTGTATTCCAACAAGACAATGCTTTCTGGCATACATCTAAGGATATCATGGATTTGCTTGCTAATTCAGTGACAAAAAAATTTAGGTCAAAAGTCAAAATGCCCAGATTTACATCCCATAAGGAACTTGCAGGCCATCTTAAGAAAGTTTACCACTCTGCTAAACATTAAAGCTTACAGAGTTCGGTTTTCCAAAGTCATTTGCATAATAACTTGAAAACCACTTGTTTTACATATTTTTCATTTTTTATCTATTTTGTCCACTAAGGCATTTGTGTTTATCTAGAATAATAAATTTGTGTTTATCTAGAATATTGCACACAAGTTTATCTAGAATATTGCACATAACTTTATCAAGAATATTGCGCACGTCTTTATCTAGAATATTGCGCACGTTTTTATCTAGTATATTGCACACGCGTTTATCTGGAATGTTGCACACGTGTTTATCTAGAATATTGCACACGTGTTTATCTAGAATATTGCACACGTCTTTATCTAGAATATTGCACACGTGTTTACCTAGAATATTGCACACGTCTATATTCAGAATATTGCACACGTCTGTATCTAGAATATTGCACACGTCTTTATCTAGAATATTGCTCACGTCTTTATCTAGAAAATTGCAAACGTCTTTTTCTAGAATATTGCACACGTCTTTATCTAGAATATTGCTCATTTCTTTATTTAGAATATTGCACACGTCTTTATCTAGAATATTGCACACGTGTCTATCTAGAATATAGCACACGTGTTTATCTAGAAAAATGTATTTGTATTATCTAGAATATTGCACACGTGTTTGATTTGATTTGATTTGATTTGATTTGATTTGATTTGATTTGATTTGATTTGATTTGATTTGATTTATTAAAGTAAATAAATAATGATGTTACTTAGTGCGTGGTTAAATACCTGTACGACTCCTACAGTCACCTCTCCCTCCCCATGCTTGGGTTCCTTGTTGAGGTTCTCGAGAAGGGACCACCCTCAGTTCAACCTTCAGTTCTAACCATCATTCATTGCATGGCCCATTATGTTGACTTGCAGGTACAAATAGTGTTATTATTTGGCAGTTGCCTGAAGGAATTACGCGCACTTGCCACGTCTTGCGGCTAGGACAGTCTAGAGGGCTGAGCGCCGTGGCTAGAACAGGCTTTCTCTTCGGCTGGTAATTCAACGGTGCATGCGCGTAACTCCTTCGGGCTTCTGCCTTGTTATTCAGACTGGTACACTTCCAAAATTTCAAAACTGCAAAAAGATTAAGTTGGCTTTTATTAAACTTTGCAATATTTTTATCCTTAAAAGATCGCAAAAAATACGTTTTTGATTCGTGTTTTGTCCGTATTTTCTGTCAAATTTAAAATTTGCCTAGATGAAATCGAATTAATATTAGTATATTATGCGCAGCGCCTTTCGGTGAATAATCAAAATATTCCAAAATATTTCTTATAATATTATAACAATAATTTTGATTATTACACTCTCTTCCTACAAATAATATACTAATAAACAATTTTTTATACCAACTGCTTTTCAGCTAATATCTGAATTTTTACTAAATTACAGTTAGTGATGGGCATAAAATTGAATAGTTTATTTTGTTCTTAATTTTGTGGACTTTTTAAAAGGAAACACAAAATGTTCTGAAGATTCCAACATTTCTAAACTTTCTCCTTTGCTTTTTTTAGATATAAGGCAAAAAGAATCGTTTTCGGTACGTTTACCATCTATTCTCAGAATTAAAATTTGGCTTAGTGTAAGGAAAGAAAATGTTCAGAATGAACAACAGATTTCTGTGAAACATTGTCCTTAAAAAGTCCAAAAATCTGTTAAGTTTTTTAACTAAGATATCCTGAAGCACTATAGTACATATTTTTTCGTAATACTGTTCAGATTTTTTTTAGCTGGATTTAAATGAGTAAGATTGTCCCTTTAATACAGTTTTTTTATTTTAGTCCACAACACACACGATCAACTCAGACTTGATGCGCGCCGTATCCAAGTTTGTTGAGACTCCGCACTGGAAGGAGGCCTTGAAGATCTTAAAGCTGGCGGTCACCAGGAGCTCCACCCTAGTCGCCCCGCCCTCTTCCGGGCAGACACCCAGCATGCAGGTCAGTTCAAGGGAGGGTAGGTTAGTTCAAATGGCAGGACAGGTCAGTGAGAGGGAGTAAAGTTTAAAATAATATAGCGTTAGCGTTAGCGTTAGCGTTAGCGTTAGCGTTAGCGTTAGCGTTAGCGTTAGCGTTAGCGTTAGCGTTAGCGTTAGCGTTAGCGTTAGCGTTAGCGTTAGCGTTAGCGTTAGCGTTAGCGTTAGCGTTAGCGTTAGCGTTAGCGTTAGCGTTAGCGTTGCTTATTGTTATTGTAGATGTGGGAAGCTTCCTTCGTGGATACAGACAGTTACTTGAAAAAGGAGCTCCCTGGTAGAACTATGGAGTTCACCTTTGATCTCAGTCAAACACCGGTCATAGAACGAAGACACAGGTAAATATTTATCTCAAGTTTTGTCCTTAAAGAAATGGCTGTTGTAATTGCATGTGAGCCTCCATTTATAAATAGGCATGTCTGATTCACAACGGTACCAAATAAAACCTACATCTGGGCAAAAATCATGGAGTTTCCCTGTTATTCTATTTGGAAATTGACTTCAGAGATTTTACCATAAAAGGAAATTATTCAAAAATTTCGATTTTTCGAGGCAGAAAAACAACAATATCTTTATCATTGTTACTCAGATAAAATTTTAAAGGATACCATTGTGAATCGAGTGTGCGACTTTCTAAATCAAAAAAAAATTGTCAATATGATTTAGCCGTTTGGCCAGCTTTAGCGAAAAAATATTTATATTTAAGCAAAGATATTTTATATTGATATAAAATATAGTCTGTGGCATCACACTTGCAAGGAACTTGGCGTCATAAGCGTTTCGAGGGAAGGTTCGGTTTCGGCTTTCGAGTTTTTTTCATTACTATTTCCAACGAATTGGTACTAATATATATTTTATTATCTAACAACACTTCATTAGAATTACCCATAGTCATGATTTATGTTTACTTAGAAACATTCTCATGAAACACTTAATTTTATATGTTTTTGTTAGATTTCATAAATAAACAATTACTTAGTTTCTTACTAGTTATATCTGTCTGTCTGTTTGTTTGTCCGATCAAAATTCATGTAATACTACAAACTCAAATTTTCTAATCCTCATAGCCTAGTTTACATATATTTGGTTTGTCTGTCTGTTTGTATCTATTAACGTAAAAATGGCTGAACCGATCGTGCTCAAAATTGTTGAGGCTTCTCACGTGACCCCAGGGAAGGTTTTTGGATGCTTAGAATTTAAAAAAAAATGAAAATCCACTAAAAGATATTATTTAATTCGCGAACTTTTTTTGTTAATGTTTATATTGTTAAATATTAAAACATTATAATTTAAACAATACAGTAAATTCATTTTTATACTCATACAAAGAGAAGATGCTCACAGATGGGGCCATATTTAAAAGTTAAAATTTAGAAGATGTGCGTTAAGCGCACTCTAAGCTTGGTTCATTAAATCTGACCTCTAATCTTGGTATTTTGTATTTGACCTCGTCTATCTAGGCGAGGACACGCAGTTTACCTTGAGGACGGGAATACGTCCTCTCCACGTCGTTCTCTCTCCCTTTCAACAGCTGACTCAGCAACCTTCTCGGGCTGGAAGCGACCTTGGATGAGTCAGGTAAATCCTAGAAAAAAGCTGGAGAAATTATAGAATGAACCGGAACTGAATGTACATAATTGGAGACTGGAGAGGTCGCTGAACTATATATTACCTGGCTCAAATCCTAAATCTTAAGATTCGCCGATTCAGATCTTCAAAATGATTTAACTTTGAAATTGGTGATTTAGGATTTGAACCAGTGTTAGGTAGTTCAGCGACATAGCTCAAATTCATTAAATTCGACCCCGGCCCGATGAAAAATAATCTTATCAAGTCAAATCAGTTAAATCATTCTTTTCAAACGAAGAGTTGAATTCGAACCCGAGAAATGAACTTTTGTTTTAAAAGTTAGGTGTTTCGTGCATTTTATAAGTTATAGACTCAAAAATTTACTTTAGAGCCGGGTTCGTGAGTGCCTGGTGAATCTACTGAATGTGTGTGGACAGAAAGTAGGACTTCCAAAGAGCCCTTCGGTTAGCATTTTCATTACTTCTTCAGTTAACTGTTATTTATGGTATTCCTTTAGTAAGCTATTTCTTAAATCATTTCTAGTTTTGAGGAATCTGTTCAGAGTTTAAATAATTTTATCTTACTCATGGAAAATTTCTATTCATTCATTATTGTATTTTTAACTTTAAGGAGTTTAAATATAACATTGATATTTATTATTTGTGTTAAAGCAGTTCGGAAAATTATTAATTTTAGTAGCTAAAAATAAACTTAAGATTGAAAATTAAAATGGAAAATCCTGGTTGGTTAATCATTAAAATTTGGAATTTTAAGGGCTTTAAAAATAAATGTACTTGTGTTATTTGTTAGTAAATTGCGTTTAATTCGGAAAATTGTAAATTTAAAAAGTTAGAAATAGTCAAATAATTGAAATTTAAAATTTAAAGAATAAAATAAATACTAACATATTTTTCCTTAAATACAAATATGCAATTATTTGCTTAGAAACCTTTTTTATAGTTCAGATATTTTTTAGTAAATCATAAAGTTTTCTCTTAATAAGCTTATTTATAAAAGTTTGAAGTTTAGATTGAACACCTAAAGAATGTCTTTCTTTAACTACTTATTAAGTTAAAGGGACTGTAAGCGTAATTTCAAGTGATCTTTCATTAAAAGAGACCTCCTCGTTTCACCACAGTACCCTTTACACATTTTATTGATCAAGGATGGCAGACATGTCCTTTTTAATCTAATGAACCGCTTTTAATTGCTAAAAACTTCGCTTGCAAGCTGTTCAATATATAAGAAATAATGATAGTTTATGTCTAGAAAAATCTAAAATTTACTTTCGAAACTTGGAAACCCGCCTTTGACATAAAAAACGATATTTTGAAGAGACGCTACAAGTAACGATTCATCAGCTTTTAAATACATTTCACACACAGCTCTCTCTACTCGATGAACAGACGAAGGTTCAGCATTGTCATCTTTGAATGGAGAATCACTCAAAAATACCCTTACAGTCCCGTTAAGCTTGAAAAATACATAAAAATATAAAAAATATGAATTATCTATACACCTATATAAGTAACAGTATACGGTTCACTCGTTACTGTTTCATATAGATTAAGTAAATTTACAAGCAGTGTGTTTTATCCCAAAGTGAATAAATACTAAAGTGGAACAGACTAAGGAAACGACGACAGGTTGGGCCATAAGGTTTTATTTGGTTTGGAAATAATTTCATGAAAAGATTTCGTTTGGAAAGTAAAGACTAGAAAAAATAGACTAAATGTCGTCTTCAGATAGAACTTCGAAATTTTCACGATTTAAAATCAAAATTTTTTGTACGTTTCTATGTAGTTTATATTATTATATTATAGAGATTTATTCACACACAAAGATATAAATACAGATGCCCAGATGCCCATATAGACACCCTGGATTTGGCATCCAATAGTTGAACATCGTAATAACTTGATAATTTTGTCAATGTAAATACAGAATAGCACAGGGGAAGAAACTGCTCCTTGTCTGACTCCATTTAGTACATTGAAGGTATTTGAGAACGCGTTACCCCATCTAACATTACATTTTTGATTTGAGTAAATTAGATCTTCATTTTTCGGTATCACAAATTGTGCATTCCTTGTTTTACAGATTATGCTTGCAGGCATTATTGTGCGTTGTCTGAAATCATTTATTGTGCAGTAAAATGGCTAAAATTCACTTCTGAAATCTTAATTTACGTTAACTTATATTTAAGTTAAATACAAATTCTAAGTCTGTGTTTGTAAACAAAGGGAGTCCAGTTTCTGTTGTACTGACACTCCGTATACAGACCAATTTATATATATACATATTTCTAAATACTTGGGACATAAAATGTCGTCATCCAACTATGAGTTTGGTCCACTTTAGTATTTATTCACTTTGGTTTTATCCTACCTCATTTTATTGTTATCCAATTAATATAAAATAAAGTTTAATGGTACTTTAAGTAGATGTTAAAAGTAGGTGACCAATCCTTTTAAATATTGAAATTTGTCATCCATGTTATTTTTCGTTTTTAGTCCAACCCCAGTGATACCCTGAATAAGGTAACTTGACTGAAAACAATTCTCACTGAATGTCACCGAGAATGAAATCACATAAAATAAGTAATCACCGATTAATGATCAAATTGTCGATCACCGAGAGTGATAAAAATTGTTTTATCATTGATCAAGATCACCGATCATGGTTTGTGTCTCCGCACTAATAACTGTTTAATTTAAAAACGGGACATTTTAGCTTTGTGTAAAAATTAACTGGTTTATTTATTAATTTGCATTACTTAAATTTAGACAATTTTTTTATGTGATCTAATTATTTTTTAAGATATTAAGTTCGTTAACTCGGCAATTTTTTATAAAAGAAAAATAAATTCTCATTTAAACTCATTTTTTACAGGGGTCCACAATCCACATAGTTCCATTTCTTATCACTACTGGGGTTGAAAGTATATTTAGGGGCATGAAAATACACTTTCTAAGTCATTGTGAGCTTTGGCAAGGTTTATGTGAACGTGTACTTCACTTCAGAAATCTGTACTGCATTTGGGGTTTTAAAGGGACAGACCGGCTATGTAAGGTAGTTGAACTGAGTATGCAGTGTTGTGGACAAATTCTTAAGGAATCATTTGAGACATAGAAAGCTTTTGAAAGATCTTTAAATCCTGAGTATGAGCGCAAAGTCGACGTTTAAAATCGTACTTTTGGTTTGATACGTTTTCAGAATAGTTTTTTTTTCAATTATTAAATAACGACGACAAAAAATGTAAACAAAGTTCTTCAGTAAACTAATTAATTGCTTAGGAACAGGTTGAAAAAATAAAAATCAATCTTATCATCGAAAATTAGTAATCTTGTTTAATTATTAACATTTTCTCATTATTTAGTTTTTCATTATTCACAAAAATTTTCTGCAGATTTTCTGGAATTATATTGAAAAGACAACATTTGAAGAATTTGTAGAAATCTGTGAATAAATTCATAGAAAATAAGAAATTAAATAAAATGATGAAATGAAATAATTGATTCTAGCATTGATTTAATTTATTCACAAATTTCTTTTGAGAAATATGTTCCTTTACATCTGATAAGTTTAGTGTATAATTTTTACTTTATTTTTCGTCGTCGTTATTTAATAATTTAAAAAACCGATTCTGGAAACGAATCCACCCAAAATCATGATTTTGAACGTCAACTATGCACTCAAACTCAGTAATTATACATCGTGGAAACGTTTTATATGTCTGAAATGAATCCTAAAGAATCTGTTTACAACACTGCATACTCAGTTTAACTACCTTACTTAGCCGGTCTGTCCCTTTAAAAGATGAAAATATCAGTGATCGATAAAAGAAATAAATTATCATATACAAAAAAATAAACACTCCTTGCAGTATATCTTCTACAGTATGGAATTTTTTCTACAACTTGACATTATACTTCCAATTGTTTACAATAACAACATGTTTAATTTCTGCTATAACATCAACCAATTAACATTTGGGATCCTATTGGATGGAATTATATGGACCCCTGAATTTTTTTAAAGAAATAAAATCATCATAGTGAATATGCACATTCATTAAACCACCGCGGCCGTGTGTATACATACTTGAAAAATGTTAAGAAATTTAACCTCAGGACTTCATTAAGCTTTCTTTTTTAGTTTGATTGGCTAATTTTTTGTTAAATGCACTTAACTGTTGGTATCACTTAAACCACCCATTAACTATCAACTAATCTAACATCTAACTATCAATCTGTCTATGAATCTATTTATTTATCTTTTTTTTAACTTTTACATCTATTCATTTATTCTCATGCTCTATTCATCCGCTCATCTATTTATCCTTCCATAGATCCCCCTATTCATCTTTTTATATATTCATCTATTCATTTATTCTTATGATTATTTCATCCATTCATATATCCATCTATTCATCTATTATATCTATTCATCTATTTGTCTATTTATCTATTTATCTTTTAAGGTCATCTTCAGCCAGACCTCTGAGCTGCTGGAAAGACAGTCCTCCATGGCCTCCTCAACAGAGTGTGTTTCAGGGTAAGAAAACTATATGACCGAATCCAATGGCGTACACAGGAATTTTCTGGGGGGGGGGGGGCTCAGTAGTCATCATTTAATGGGGCTAAAGATTTCACTGATCCAGTTTGGGGGTGGGGTCTGAGCCCCCATAGTCCCCTCCCCCTTGTGTACGTCTCTGGCCGACTAATAATTATAGCAAATTTTATCATCATTTATGATCATCAATATTATCATTTTAACCATCGATATCATCATTGTTTCAATATATTCAATAACAAATTATATTCGTTTAATTCAATGGTTTTCCAGTTTTTAAAAGGAAACTCCTGAAATAGTTAATTTGATAAGTATGTTCCTACTTTTCCTAGCGGACAAAAAAGATTTTCGAACCCAGAATGGATTTCGGTAAATCCGATGATTACGGAAACCATTAAAGGAAGTTTTCTCGAAAATTAAAGGGTTAAAATGTTTTCTTAAACACAAATGTAAGTTTGAGAAAGATTTTTTTTATTTCGATGTTTTGCCTACTCTTGCCACTTGGATCCGGAATCGGAAATGATAAATTAAATTTTTTAGGCCTGGAAATGATATATGGAATACATTTGTAGACCTGGGAATGATATACTGAATATATTTGTAGACCTGGATATATTAAGTTGAATATATTTGTAGACCTGGCAATGATGTATCTACTGAGCAGAGTAAACACGATACAACCGACACAGAGCAGAAGTTTGGAATGTATATGCGGGACTTCGACTTCCTGGAGTACGAACTCGAGAGCCTGGAGGGGGAGTCCGTCGACAACTTTAACTGGGGAGTTCGTCGTCCTAGTATCACCAACCTGGAGGAGGGAGGGACAGGAGCAGTTAGCCCACTTGGGTTTAATCCAGGGGGTCGTCTTCCTATAAGGTAAATGGTTGAAGTGGTAGTGTTTTCATGAGTGTAAATGTACAGGGTTAACAATAAATGATGAGACTGTAAAAACGACTTGATTCTCTTTGAATATGATTATTTGAAGGTTAAAATAAGTCTTCTGCCTTGAAAATTGTCTTTTAATGACTTATTTATGATTGGGCAAAGCATGAAATAAGTTTTCAGTTCCGATGAATCAAAATTATTAGGAAATAGACATTCAAATCGCTAAGTCGTTTCAAAAGTCTCGTCCTTTGTGGGTAACCCTGTAATTGTTACGGCTACCCACAAAGGTAAAGGTATGAAGATAATAATCATAAAAACATGCAATTATAAAATTATAAAATACAATAGAATCTGCATACTTGACAGAAAAGTTGTACGCGGCTCAAGGAACAAAATTTTAGATTTATTTTTTTATTTTGGAATAAATTGTTTTAGAAGACGAGCACCAGGGGGAGTTGGAGCAGAGGAAAGCAGTGATGACGAAGTAGAATCCGTCAGGTATTAACAGTACAGCACAGCACAGTACAGTACAGTACAGTACAGTACAGTACAGTACAGTACAGTACAGTACAGTACAGTACAGTATAGTGGAGTTTTTCCTCCTACCTCCCTTCCACTAGATAATATTAGGTTAGTGTTTCCACTACTTCTAGTTGAGTATTTAACAAGATTTTAACAAGTACGTTCTCAATACAGCTTAATCATATTTAATAATTGTAAACATCCTGTTCTATTCACAATAAACGAGGATTTCTACAACCTTATTAGACATTTACGTGAGAATCTCTAATAATTATATCTAATGATTTCAAAATATCCGTGAGCATATGGTCATATTCTCTGTCAACAGAGAATATGACTAAACACATTTTTACGGGGATAATAAAAATAATAAAAAAAGGACGGATAAATTATGAAAAAGATTGAAGAAAAAAATTTGAATTTTTTTTTTAATTTTTAAATTCGATTGGACTTGACTGTTGTTGGTTGTAGGTCTAGTACTCCTGCCAGTGATGCTGAATCAGGAGAATGCAGTGACGGAGAATTATCAGATTTAACTCCTTGTAATCCTTCACCTTCACTCTCACAGCTCTTATCCTGGACAGGATGTACAGCAGGTACAGTACACAGTAGTATACAGCAGGTACAGTACACAGTAGTGTACAGCAGGTACAGTACACAGTAGTGTACAGCAGGTACAGTACACAGTAGTATACAGCAGGGACAGTACACAGTAGTGTACAGCAGGTACAGTAACAGTAGTATACAGAAGGTACAGTACACAGTAGTGTACAGTAGATACAGTACAGAGTAGTTTACAGAAGGTACAGTACACAGGGAAGATGATTGCACACTGTACAGTAAAATATCTATTTACAGAGGATAGAGAAAGGGAGGATGTGTGTACATTGTACAATGTAAATTACATTATCTATGTACAGAAGGTAGAGAAAGGGAGGATGTAGAGGAGAACTGGAGACAACATGTACAGTGTTTGATGACAACTTCTTCACAAGAAAATCTGCTCCATACGTTCACACTATTCGCCAGGTAGGAGGGGAGGGGAGGGGAGGGGAGGGTCTGAATCTAAAATATAACATTTTAAACATGCCTGGTGTTCAAATCTCTATTGTTTAGATTGTTCCGTGACCTAAAATGTAGAACGGTCAATCTGACAGAGGACTCGTGTACTTATCTTTCCAGGTAGGCATATTTACACCATGTTCTCAATAGGTGTACTCAATAGGTGTACTGTACAGGTACACTGTACATGATTGTAAATGTACACGTTACTGTTAGTACTCTATACAGATTTATATGTATAATACTGCCAATCGAAAATGTTGGCCAAAATGTTTGTTTTTATGTCAGCGGTTTTCTAGAAACCCCAGTTTTAGTAAAAAGGAATAATCTGTTTAAACATTTGATTAATGATAATCTAAAAAAGTAATTGTGAAAACTGTGCATTAGACACGGCTTACTTGGAATATTCTCGAGAATTTCTCAATTTCTAGAAAACCTGAACAATTTTACCGGAAAATACATTCTGATGAGATCTATTTTAAGCAACTTATATTAAGATTTTAATCTTCAACATTAACTAAAATACTATTTCTGGATCGGACTTCAAATATACTAAACTTCTTAACCTTTTCGTGCCAGCTTTGAACATATTTGGCCAGTTTTTCGGTCGGTGGGCAGAATATTTCCCAGATTTCCTCGTCTTTATTGGCGGATTATCTTATCAGAAGTTTTTTACTTTTTTCATAAACCATTTCCGTGATCAGCCACAATCCGGCCATGGTCGGATCAACCCTTTTATTGGAAACAAAGAAGCAACCGAAATATTTTTATAATAGATTTTAAAAATCAAAATGGTCATTTGTTAAAGAATAATGTTAAAAAACTAATTATCGGATAATATGGTTTTTGTGAAAGTTATTCATTTTCTTATAATTTTACAGGGACCTAAAACCCGCTGAATTTTTGCGAGAAATATAATAAATTTCAGATTTAACAAAAATCTTTTGTTCAGGGAGGTTGAATCTGTTCATCCTGTTCATACTCGTCAACTTGGTTCAACATTAATAAGATTCAGGTCAGTTCAGGATTATTTTGTAACAGTTTAACCCAGAATTTATAAAACGTCGTTTGTTTTCTAAAACTTCTAATAATGGAATGCTGTAGATATTTAAATTTTAATTGAATAATTAAACATTATATGGAGCTCTTTTAAACTGTTTCAGCATATTTCATGGCTATTTACTTATTTTTACAATTACTTAGATTTAGGTAAAATATTATAAAACCAATTGAAAAAATGAGAAGACGACATTTTACAAATTTGTTTGATATTTCCGAAGTTCTGGATTAGATAAGATAAGATACACTTTAAAGTGTATTGCTAAAATACATGTACATCTGTGTGTAGTACGAGTTTACAATTACAAATTGATGATTATATTAATAGTACAAGTATAAAGCAATTAGGTAGAAAATAGGTCTGGCTGTTTTGATTATTTTTTCCACCTAATTTCAATAATGATAACAACACATTTCAATTAAATAGATTTAAGGAGAACTATTAGAGATCAGGGTTCGATTTTATCTTATGCAAAATAGTTTATACATTTATTAGAATAACTAGAGTTTAAAGTAATTTTCTGATATGTACACAACAAATATCAAAGCATAATAAAACATATATAAAACTGTACTTTTTTACATTCACAATCGCATCTATCGATGGTTAGAAACTAATTATCAAATGGCCTTTATTTTAGTTCAAATAAATACACGGCAAAATTTAAATACTTTATAGGGAGCTCCTTCAAGTGGTGGAACTAATTCCTGATTGTCCTCATGTCTGGTGTGATTTCAGTCTTCTTGGAGATCCCAGGTAGGAAGCTGGAGACTATCTATCTTTTTTTCAGTGCTAAGCAAGCAAGGAAAGTTATTTCAGAGGTGTACTCATTTTTTGTACTGCAGTGCACTGTCTTTGGGCGGTAATGTAAACACGAGACGGATGTTACAGCCTGACATGGAATTCATCTTTCACAAAAATAATCAATGAAATATTCTGGTCATAGGAAACTATTACGTTAATTATCAAATTATCAAAATTTATTGCTTTTAACCTCCTCGGATACCAGACGAACACTGAGAGAACTGGTTTCAATATGTACGCAGAGTATACGCGTCCCCAATTAACTTTCCTTGCATTAGTACCTTGGTGCTAAGGATCCATTTAATTTTGAAGCGGATCCGGATCCTGGATCCGCATTGGAAAAAAATAGATCCGGATCCAGTTCATGAAAAAAAATTAAGATTTACTTATTTTTTTCACAGAAAAATTTTCAAATTATTTTTCTTACTTTTTCACTTATTTTTTTCCAACAAATTTTGTGAACCATTCAGAGATCAGGACATCTCTGACAATCTCTCTTTTTTCAACAATTCAGATCTGAGTTTTGGTTGATATTTTGTTCTTGGATACGGATCCTAATCCTAAGCACTGCTTTTTCCAGTCACCAACCCTGAGATTACATCTTCTAGCATTGGGACACAACGCAGCTTAACACATTAAAGGGTTTTGAATTTTTATGCGGTTTAACAAAAATATGAGAAGTTTTACAAATTTAAGAAAGTTTATTCTTAACATTTAGTTAGAGAAAATATTTCTAAGGACTAACCAAAAATAAACGATCGACAGTGATTCATTATTTACCTTATATTTTCTCTTGGATAAAATTGTTGAAAAATTTAATAAAAGTTTTTTAACTTTAATAGTTTATTTTAAATAAATTTTACAATATTTTGAAATTTCAATATGATATCAGATGGAAACATTTTGAGACTTCCATATTTCTTTTTTTTTCATTCTTGATCATCCATTCCTTGTGCATCCTTCATTCATACTTCGGCTAATTTTGAAAATAAAAATAAATGAATTTTTTGGATGCTTTTACAGCTAGCCAAATCACAGAGGCAGAACTATTTTTTCGAGCCCTGTATCTATATTCTGAGAGTGGCAAGGTTTCTCTCTAACTTGTTTGTTTTTTAATACAAAATTTAATTAAAGTAAACTTTTATAAAATACAGTTTTGAAATTTGGAAGTTCACATACAAGTATTTGGGTGACATGCCTTTTAAAGCGAACCAAGCCATGTCCCATCAATCTCTTTTCATAGGGTGCAAAAATTTTTTCTTTTTTATTCATTTAATAGACTTTTGGTTTAGCAGGATAGAGGTTTTAAAAAATGTATTGATGACAAAAAAGTATTATTTATTCAATTTAAATTAAACATTATTAAAAATATTATGTTTGCATTTTGTGCATTTTTAAGTATCCATTGTTTTAGTTTATATGACAAGGTTTTGAGAATCTATATCAGCAAAGCTAATAATGGGGAATAAAAGGCAGAAAGTAAAGATACAATTGAAGTAAAAACTGTTCTGAAAAGCCTAACTTAGCTTTACATAAAACAATTGTTCGTTTTCATAGACAATATTTTAAACCTCTACAGTGGGCTTCTATGCTGTTGGTAAGACTTATCCATGCGGAGAAACCTTTGCATTTTCATTTTCTGCTTTGTATTGAAAACTTCTCTCATTATCGGAGGGGCAAAAAAAACAAATTATGGAAAAAAATGCTCGCATAAACTTCCGGGTCGTTTTCTATAGACAGCATCTTTTAGTACACGGGGCTCTTAAAAACAAAAAATTTGACATTTTTAATTACACTATTTTTCTAAGGTTAACGGAAAGAATGAAGTTTAATGTTCTGGAGATCCAAGAGAACTTTGAAAACTACGTAGACAGGAAGGAATCTGTCAGCTCGGTAATTTAATCGATCTTTTTAGTTTTTAAAGAGACAGTAAGCGTAATTTCAAGTGAACCGAAATACAAAGATAGCAATGCCCGATTTACTGTGGTATCCTTAAAAGCTTTTTCTGATAAAGTGTGAATTAGATATCTTAGTTTACAGTTTTCAAAAACTGATAATAAACATTCTTAAACCTAGAAAAACGACAATATCTTCCACATTATTAATCAGATAAAGGTTTCAAGGGTACAGTTATGAATCAGGCAGTGTCAGCTTAGCATGCAGGTTCACTGAAAATTACGCTTACAGTCTCTAAGTTTATTAAAATTAAAAAAAAACATTGTTTCAATACAAATCAAAGCAATCAAATTAAATTGATTTGACTGATTTGATTTGATTTGATTTGATTTGATTTGATTTGATTTGATTTGATTTGATTTGATTTGATTTGATTTGATTTGATAAAAATTAATATTATTATTATTATTATTGATTATTTATTATTATATTAAAATTATATATATAGTTTATAATTCGGAATTATGGTTATTATAGTGCTTGGAAGGATTGAAGGCGCATAGTAAACTGGCCTCCCTTGGGGAGCAGGGATACAACATAGATACAGACGAGGTAGAGCTCTGCAGGTAAATATATATCTATATATATACCTCCCCCTGGGGGACCTGGTTAACCAGGGATACAGCATAGATACAGACGAGGTAGAGCTCTGCAGGTAAATATATATATATATATATATACCTCCCCCTGGGGGACCTGGTTAACCAGGGATGCAACATAGATACAGACGAGGTAGAGCTCTGCAGGTAAATATACTGACGGGCATTGAAGATTTTCATCCTTATTTTCACACAATGTCCACTATCCAGGCCTCAAATCATAATTTATGAAAAGCTTTACGTAGTTGGACTAGGTACGGATAACTAGCCATATCTATTTCAACTACATCTAGCTAATCATAAACTTTACCTCCGTTCTAGGGGTTGCTCTTTAATGCATTGTTAAAAGAACTGTCGGTTAGTATTATTTATTGAAATTAAATCTACGAATTAATCTTTCCGTAAATTTGAACTTCTTAAATAAGGTTATTTGAAAGTAAAAATAATTTTTAATGTCCTTAGAATAGGATTCAACAATATTCGTATTTTAGGATTTTGTACAAGATGCACTTTCAGCAGCTGCTACTGTTAGAGAGCTACACCAAGCTGCTCCACTTGCTGAGCAGCTCTGCAGCTGCCAGTAATGTCCAGGATATCAGCAGCGAGGTGAATAGGATGAAGATAGGACTTCTAGGATACCTGGCCATAGCCTCACAGCCCTCCACTCCCAAACATGGGATGAGTCCGGGGCCCTCATCTCCTGTTCATTCCCACCCAACCTCCCATCCTTCATCCCCTAATCCATCCTCTCACCCTTCTTCCCGTCCCTCATCCCGCCGCTCCTCTCCGCCCCCTGGTTCTGGCCCCGCCTCCCGACCTGGATCCGCCCGTTCCTCCTCCTCTGCTCCGCCTGCGGTGGATGATGAGGATGAACCGACACCAACCGCCTCATGCAGTGAGACAGACGAAATCTTCGTTATAACTCCTGATCCTACAGTTATATCAGCTGAAGATGATCCTACAGTATTATCCGAGGATCCTACGGTTGTATCTGGAGATCCTACGGTTGTTTCTGATGATCCTACGGTTGTTTCTGGCGATCCTACGGTTGTTTCTGGAGATCCTACGGTTGTTTCCGGTGATCCTACGGTAGTTTCTGCTTTAATTGTTCCTGAAATATCTGTAACCCCTCCACCACGTTCTCCTTCTCCTCCTGCCCCCCTTCCTAGTAGTGGAGCTGAAGCTACAGAACTCCTGGTGGATCTCCTAGAAGGAGAGGATTGGAGTGAGGTGTGGAGGATCTGGAAGGAGTCTAGACACCTGCTCCTACAGGAGATGCAGGATCTCCAGCTAGATGATGATCAAGTATCTGAGATCCTCAATATCTACTGTAAAAGTATCGCGCAGACCAAAGAAGGTGAGTTTATCTATATTCTAAATATGTAAAGTACTAATCTTTGTTTGTTTTGTATGTCCAATCATAACTCAGGAACCCCTCAACCGATTTGCCTAAAATTTTGACTGAGGAACTCGGTATAAACACGGGAATCTAGGCAATGAATATTACATTTGTAATTTTTCAAAATGTTTATAAAATAAATTGACTATCGGGCCACGTATTCTTGTAACAATATTACTTCTTAAAAAATTATAAAGTATTTTTTCTAAACAAAAAAGTATTAATTTTAAAAATTGAAGAAAAAAAAAACAAATAAAGGGATTTAGATTCTTTACCTTAAATATTTTTAGTAAGAATTATGATATTAGAAATATGATATATAAATTGTTACATAACATTCAATCACTGGTTAATTCCACAAAAATTTCGATATTCTTCTTTTGGAAAACATTCGTTTCATAGTTTAAAAATGTTTTACGGTTCATTTCCATCTTTCAATAAATGTTCGACAATAGTCTCAAAGGAAGCATAAAAGCACATAAATGTTGCCTGATTAATTAATGGAAATAATTAGGTTTAAAAAAAAAGAAAAAATGATGAATGGAAAAGAATAACTAATGGGATGTCACGTATTCAACTTTCAACTATAAAGAGAGGGCAATGAGACTAAGCCGCCCATCCCGAGAAGTTAAAACTATGATTTTCAGTGTGGATGCCGCCCCTTTATGAGTTTTGCATACACTCATGATAGTCATATATACAGTATATACGCGACCATCAATTTAAGGATTGACATGCCTAATGGTAAACTGTAAATACGTGTCATGTTCAAAAGAACTAGGTTATGTTCCATTTAGAACATGTTCTCTTTGTATACATTGTAAAACAAAAACAAACAAAAATTTAGCGGATTTTATAAAAAATTTCGTGGATTTTCAAAATGTTTTAAAATAGAATTTTGACTCAGGCAAATTTTTGAAAATATGAACCTTCTCTGGGGTCACGCGAGGTCCCACAAAAAGTTTGGGCCCGATCGGTTCAGCCGTTTTGACGTTTATTGTATATTGTATATTGTATTGTATTCCTGCTATTCCATCTGAAATTTAATAGTTTTAAACGGTTTCTTTTCCTTATTCTGATAAAGCCCCTTTAAGCTTCATGCCCTCCCTGGTAAAATTAATATTTAAATTCATAATTGAGCAAAAACAGTCGCGGATTATGGGCATTTCAAGATTTAAACATTAGAATATATTTCTTCATGTGTCACTTCAAGATCTAAACATAAAAGAATATATTTCATCACGTGTCACTTCAAGGTTCAAACATACAAAAATGGAATAAAAGTTAAAACTCATATATCAGCAGTTATTGTCTACAATCTACAAGTTGGTTTAAAGTAGACTTTTCATTTTCCTAACAATGTAACATTTCCCATAATCTGGTTATTTTGGTTGACTTTTGGTTGAATTTTGATAAATATTTAATTTTTTATGAAGGTCTAAGTTTGGGGCAATTCTTCAAATATTGAAATATTTAAAATATCTGTACAATCCCTTTAATATTGAATTATTTAAACTATCTGTACAATCCCTTTAATATTGAAATATTTAAACTATCTGTACAATCCCTTTAATATTGAAATATTTAAACTATCTGTACAATCCCTATAATATTGAATTATCTAAAATATCTGATACAATCCCTTTAATATTGAAATATTTAAACTATCTGTACAATCCCTTTAATATTGAAATATTTAAACTATCTGTACAATCCCTTTAATATTGAATTATTTAAACTATCTGAACAATCCCTATAATATTGAATTATCTAAAATATCTGAACAATCCCTTTAATATTGAATTATTTGAAATATCTTAACAATCCCTTTAATATTGAATTATTTGAAATATCTGAACAGTCCCTTTAATATTGAATTACTTGAAATATCTGAACAATCACTTAATATTGAATTATTTGAAATATCTGAACAATCCCTTTAATATTGAATTATTTAAAATATCTGAATAATCCTTCTAATATTGAATTATTTGAAATATCTGAACAGTCCCTTTAATATTGAATTATTTAAAATATCTGAACAGTCCCTTAAATATTGAATTATTTGAAATATCTGAACAGTCTCTTTAATATTGAATTACTCCAGGAATATTTGTGATGACAGTAAGCAGCACCGAGTTAGCTGAAGTATGCTCCAGGCTGATGGATATATCAATGCAGCTCCTGGCAGCAGTTAAAGAGTTGGAGAAATCAACTTCACAGGTAGCTCCTTGTATTTCTAGCTGCTCCCTGTATTCCTAGCTGCTTCTTATATTCCTAGCTGCTCCTCGCATTCATACCTGCACCTTGTTTTCTAGCTGCTCCTTGTATTCATAGCTGTTCCTTGCAATCATAGCTGCTTCTTGTTTTCATAGCTGCTCCTAGTATTAAAAATCTTCTTAAAATAATTATATTAATAAATTAGTACCTCTTGATTTGTATTTTTACAAGTAAATCAGATTTTATTTTGTTCCACTTTATTTTCCTTTAGCATTAATTTACTATGAAATGTGATATTTTTTCAGAATTCATAATTTTTAAGACGTACTTAAAATTTAGATAGTTACATCTTTTTTGTTAAAGGGATTGTAACGATTAAAAAAAGGTTCCGCTGTGAATCGGGCTTGTGCCGCTTTCAATTTAGGGTAACTCGAAATTACGTTGACATTCCCTTTAAGCTTTAATCTTTAATCAAACTATTTTTATTTGGACTAATGTTATTGATATGCAGTGCTAACCAGAAAACTCTGGACTAGGACGACGACTTTTAAACTTAAATTATTACTTTAGATAGTCCAATGAGCACGGGAAACAGAAATTATTTAGTGTAAACAGACCCATTTCACTTGATTTCTGATTTAAGAAGTGTCTACTAAAACTATTTGCTTTATAACAACATCAAATACACTTACGTATTGCTAAAGTCGTCTTCCTATTTAGGAGTTTTCTGGTTATTACTGAAGAACATGTTTTTTCGTTCATATTTAATTATACATATAAGACAGCTTAGTGGCGTTGGATGAATTGCAAAAATTTACTCATCAATTTGCATTTTTTGTTTTTAACTGTTTCTTATAATTGAATGTATATGTAACCCAACAGGGGAGAAGGTTTATAAACAGGAATCTTTAAAAACGCATTTGATTGTATTTCTTTTTAATTATGCACAATTATAAAAAGAACATTAGTTGGTAATAGCCAAAATTTATTTTTTTTGTATATTTTTTGCCATTATTGAATTTTTTTAATGTTTTTTCAGAGAGGTCGAGAGTCTCCTGGTAGAATAGAGAGTTCCCTGTAAGAGTCTAAATAAACCAAGCACCCCCTCTCACAAAACTTTAAGTTGCGCCTCGTATCATATTTAAGATCTAATATTAAACAATTATTATTTAAGATCTAGAAATAATTTAAGAAAAATAAACACACTTTGCATATTTGCTTTTTGCACATCGTAAACATTAAACAAAATATTTATATGTTTGTAAACCCTGCAGTACAGTACAGTTCAGTACATGTACGCTTGGTATATTCTTATATATATTCAGTAAATTAGTTGCTAGTAAAATCGTTATGAATATTTATTATTAAAGTATATTTTTGTCATTTAATCTCAAATAAACTAAAATTTAAAAAAACTTTTATTGCAGCAAGTGGTAGCGATTTATAGACGATTTAGACACATTTAAAACTCAACGTTTTATTATAATTATCGTTATTAATCGCTCGGATCGTTTTTACAAGAAAAAAAAACTGATCAACTTCAAAGATTTCAAAAGTTTGCTTTTTTCATACGACTCATGATGATTTTAACCTATAAGAATAAAAAGTGAAAAAAGATAGTTACGACAAACTCGTTTTTGGATCGTTTTTGCATCGTATTTGGAAGGAAGAATAATACAAATTTAGAATAAAATATTTCAAATACATTCGCCTTTCTGACACTAGGAAGGATAAGGGTTGATTGGGATAATTATTACAATTGACGTAAGTTCAAGTGACTCTCCATTAGTATCATATCAGAAATGGACTTTAACCTTTAACCAGATGTCTGGACATGAATGAGATATCCTTATTTTTGGATTAAATTGACATTAAATGTAGTTTTGTTTTATAAAAGTTCCTTAAGAAATCATTCTTTTCGGCAGTCGATAAAACTTGTGTGAAACCTTTTATAAATTTATAAACCGAATAAAATCAAATGCCCAACTACGGCCGAAGTCTTCTTATGAAACTCTCAGAAGTATATGCTACCGTAGTCCGGCTGATTTATGCTTAAAATAATAAAAATCTGTGCACCTAAGATTGTTAGTCTGTGCGGCTCAGAATGGATGGTTTGTTCTTTTGCTTTCGTTAAACTCTCTACAGATCTGCTGCTTTATACTCTGCATAGTGCACATTCCAAGCATTCCAAGTTGGCGCCAACATTTCCAAATCCTACAGGGATAAATATAATTCAACTTTTCTCATCATGAAATAATAAAAATGTGCATTTTATCTTACTTTTTTCAAATACTAATAATTATCAAAACTTAAATTGATTAATTGGTAAATGCCCTGACTGGTGCAGACTCGCTTTCTTCCATACCTCTAAAGTTAATTATAGGACAAGATTTATTAAAGAAAATTAATATTAAATTAGTTTTGATAAATAATAATAATTTTTTTGTAAAAGGTAAGGTTCAGAATTGAGTAATATAGTATAAACCTTCTACTAATTGAAAATAATGAGATTTACAAGTTGTGAATATTGATAATCTAATTTATACTTAATCAGACAAAACTTTTAAGGGTACCATTGTAAATCGAACATTACCATCTTTGAATGGAGAGTTACTTATAACGCTTGGCAGTCACCTTTCTTTGAAATAACTAATGAAGCACAGTTCTATAATTTTATATCACGCCCAGTCCTATCTAACATAAATTTTTTGGCTTGACGATACTCATTAGAATTAGAAACAGCTTTTTATGCAATTCTCCTGGTTTTAATTTGTCACCCATCAGATCCCGGCGCCATTTTATTGCCGCGGTGCACAACTCTATTTGGCGCCCGACTGTCGTCTTTAAGAGATAGCATCGGGAAAAAGAAGTCTGGATTTAGAACATGTAAACTCAGAATACTGGTTCACAGCAAGATTAGACACTAGACAGCTTGGAAAAACTGCATTGAAAATAAACAAGATTTCCAATTTGCATTTTTCTATTCCTCCGCAACATGCAACGATTTCTTTCATTTTCCAAATCAATTAATGGGTGTTACAAAAAATGATCAATAAAGATGTTTTATACGTTAAAGCATCACATTTTTTTTATATTATTAAACCAAACAAAAATTAATGTTATAAGATAAAATTTTTGTTTTTAAAACATTATCATGAATAAAAATTTTTTAAAAGCTGATATTATAAGTCGATTTTACATTTATTCTAAATTCACAATTTATTTTTAAAATTGTATTAGGAGTCCATTTCTAAATTGTATCAGGAGTCACTATTTGAATTGTATCAGGAGTCCTTATCTAAATTTTATTGGGAGTTTATATTTTAATTGTACCATGGAGTACATCTTTAAATTTTATCAGGAGTCAATATTTCAATTGTACCATGGAGTACATTTTTAAATCATATCAGGAGTCCATATTTCAATTTATTTATCTTTAAATTGTATCAGGAGTCCAGAAATAGATTTTATTAGGAGTGCATATTTAAATTGTATCAGGAGTCCATATCTAAATTCTAATATCACAAATTCATATTTAAATTCAAAATTTATATCAGGAGTCAATATAAGAATCATTACAAAAACGACGTTTACTTAAAAATTTATGAATAATGTCAAATGTTGAATTGAGCTTTCGCTCAACCCCCCCCCCCCTATTTTCCTCTCTGCGCCCATCCCCCCGCCTCTCTCTCTAATCCCTCCTTCTCTGAAAAGTATAAAATAGTTTATTGATATGCTGGAGTAGAATCAAACAGAAGCGGACCACAGAGGAGTAATATCAAAATAACAAATCTATATTTTCAAAACTTTTCAAAAAATCAGAATCACAAATTGTTCACCTCTCACATGATTACAGGTAGGGATTTAAGAGCACAAAAAAGATAAACATCGAAATATATTCTTCTTTATATCCACACAGTATTTAATGAAGAAAACAGGAAAAACGTTCTATATTTTTATACATTTTCAAAATCGCGAGAAAAAAATTCAAAAAATCTATGAAAAAATAAATAAACTAACATATAATTACAGACGTACTAATTAAAAGGTAAAAATAATTCATAATTTTTTTAAAACCCTTTGAAAGTATTTAGAATCTAAATGCTTGATGAGAACCTTTGTTCAAGGCACAAATATAATAAATATGTCTATTAAATCGCCTATTAAACATTACATACTTGAATATTTAAACCAAGCAGATTTTTACTCCTAAGAAATATACCAAAAAAAACATTGAAATACAAATATTTTCTTAATATTCTTTAAAACTAAGATTAATTATTGGAACAAAAAAAGCAAAAACTTTATACTACAATATTTTCTAAAAAGCGTATTGCGCGTAATAAACAGAATATAAAACTAAGTTAGGAACTTACACTTTTCATTTTATCATATTATATTTTGTCAACAAATGTCACACGCAAAAAAAATTAGGAACATTTAAAAAAGGCCGTTTGTTTGTTCGTACTTTGGTTTTTGACGCCGTTGATTAACAATTTTGAAGATTTTCATTTTCTGTTTAATATAGTGTTCACTATACATAGTTTAAATTAAGAAAAAAATTCACAAAGTCTAAAGTCGAATTGCATTGTAACACGTTTTTTAACTTCATGGGAGGAGACTTTAATAACGACTTTTTTACTGATTCAAGTTTATTTTTTTCCAGGAAAATAAAAGGTATATAATTATGATTCCGTAGAGAGAAAAAACTTCATAGATTTAATGAATTCGTATCGGAAGTCTCTATTTTCTTTAATGGAAACAAACATACAACTGAAATATGTAAAAAAAGAAAAATTTCCATGAAATCTTATTTAAATCAAAATTTTCCAGGTAAACCCTAATACTTACACTAATCATGGTACACCCTGTATACTACACTATAGTTAAACATGGTACACCCTGTATACTACAATATATATGGTACACCCTGTATAATACACTAATCAAGGTTCACCCTGTATAATACACTAATCATGGTTCACCCTATATACCACGCTAATCAAGGTACCTGGTACACCATGTATACTACACCAATCCTAAAGTACACCCTGTATACTGCACTAATCCTTGTTCACCCTGTATACTACACTAATCCTAGAACACCCTGTATACTACACTAATCTTAGTACACCCTGTATACTACACTATCACTGGTACACCCTGTATGCTCCACTAATCATGATACACCCTGTTTACAACACTAGTCCTGGTACACTCTATATACTACACTAATAATGGTACAACCTGTGTACTACACTATACATGATACACACTGTAAACTACACTAATCCTGGTACACCCTCTTTACTACACTAATCCTGGTACACCCTGAATACTACACTATACATTGTACACCCTGCATTGTACACTATGCATGGTACACCTGTATACTGCACTATACATGGTACACCCTGTAAACTACACTAATCCTGGTACACCCTGCATACTACACTATAAATGGTACACCCTGTATACTACACTAATCCTGTTACACCCTGAAGACTACAATATACATGGTACACCCTGTATATTACACTAATCCTAGTACACCCTGTATACTACACTATTCATGGTACACCCTGTATACTACACTATACATGGCACACCCTGTATACTAAACTAACCCTGGTACACTCTGTATACTTCACTAACTCTGGTACACCCTGTATACTACACTAGTCCTGGTACACCCTGTATACTACACTAATCCTGGTACACCCTGTATACTACACTAGTCCTGGTACACCCTGTATACTACATAATACATGGTACACCCTGTATACTACACTAATCAAGGTGCACACTGTATGTTTACTACAGTGTTCGATGTATAGGCCCATATCCCGGTAAAGTGTGTAGTAGGCCTTACACCTCACAGCTGATCAGTCATTAAACTTGATAGTTATATAGTTATATACAGATACATGTATACCTAATCATTATACTGGATAGTTATATAGTTATATAGATGCATGTACGCATAATAATTATACTTGATAGTTATATAGTTATACAGATACATGTACTGTGTACACTGTTCATCATGCAAGATCATATGTAATTTCACAAATAGCTATACAGACAATGTCCATTGTACATTGTACAATTTTTTTCTTTCGAAACACTCTCTATTAATTTTTCGAAACACCATCTTTAAACTTTTATCAAATAGTGGAGGAATTAAAATGCATTTCAAGAAAAAGTAGTTTCTT